TCTAGCTGTAGGTATTGCTTTTTTTTTGTTTTCTTTTTTTTTCATTTTCTCTTTCCCTCCCCCGTATCGTTCTCCTCCTTTCCGTCGGTTTGGTTTAATCGACGATTCACCGTTGAGCCTCGGGGATTTAGAGGGTGTCTCGAAATTGGATCGTACGCTTTGTCAAATCCAGTAGACTATATGCGAATCCCTGTGTTGGTGTGCAACACACGTATATATATATATATATATATATATATATATATATATATATATATATATATATATCGGAAGCGAAGAACGAGTTATAGCTTGGCAAACTATAAGTTAAGTGATCCGTGCAAGAATATATGTATAGTTTCCTGTAAGAAAACTTATTTGATGAATAATTTACGGTAAACATTTTTTTTCTAGTGCTATTAAAAGAAAGTAGATATATCAAAAAGAAAGTTGTTTGAGGTTAATTGAACTTTGTAAACAGAGGTATAAAATTTGTTATAAATAGTGATGGATTTATAGACGTTTGCGATCTAGATTTTAGTTTATTATGGTACTGTATCCGTTTACTACCATCTAGATTGTATATGACGTAATGGTGAATGGTAATGTGAATGGTACGATAAATGCAGTGTCACCTTTAATCTGGATTGTATACCGTATAATATCTCCTAGAAATTTGATATCAAATACTAACGTAAACCACTGTAAATTATGTTTATATATTGTATCTGTTTTCGATATTCAGTAATTGCTAATTCGTGTTAAAATTACGAATTCTTTAAATTCTTAAAGAAATGGAGTATGTATTTGGCCAAATTATTTGTTGTTGAAATATTTTTGAAAAGAAAGGAGATACATTTGTTCTACTTTTTTTTATAGTTCTATCCTTTAGAGAAGATGTGTTATACACATTTGGAATACCTCGTGATTTGTGTTAAGAGAATTTCTTGAATAGTGAATACCAAATGGACGTATGTACCATTGGTAAATGATAATATGCAGCATCGTGCGTGAAGCATCTGCAATTGCGGCCACTGCACCCTAGTAGAATTCATTGGTTGTATCTGCATATTCCTGATAGAGCATTAGGGGTATTGCTATATAGTAGTCCAGAAATCGCTCAATGGTATACGTTCTGTCCTCGGTTCGGTTCAGTTCCGATAATGCGATTCATTTCAAAAGCCCTACTGAAATCGCTTAGTACGGCGCGCACACACAAATGTGATTCGCCCTTGATCCAGCTTTCAGGAAACTAGTCTCCATGATGAATGGACCAGTTTAATGTTTCATGCTTCCGAATGTTAATCGAAAGCCTTAAAACCACCGGAAGCCATGGATATATATACTCCCATAGACTATATATATTGATGATGATGTCTGGAATCGTACTCTGCTTGTGAAATGAACATAGTTTGCAAAAATACACTGAAAAAAAGGTAGCATTGATTCCATAAAATCATGTACTTGTCTGTATCATATACAACTAATTTTCTTGATTCAATAATATTTTTTCCAATGGCGATAAAGTTTTATATTAGTGGAATTAATCATTAGGAATCTATTCTTTTTGGTGAAAATTTGGTAAAGAGAATCTTCTGTTTCTGAATTGATTGCCAGTGGATTTTATTATTTGAATATAATAGTTTCAATTTTTTGACTAGTGGATCAAGTTTCAATTTATCGAAGTTTCGTTTGTTTGATTTTTTGTCTAGATGAGACTGAAGGAAAAAAAAAAATATTTTTCATAAAGTGTTTTGTATACTTTATTTTTTTGTTGTAGAGATTTTATTTAAAATATATTTTTTTCAGCCATTCTTCAAATGTTTTTCTTTTAGTGTCCATCGATGTAAAAATGTTGTGTACATCCGATATCATAAAATATACCGCCATTGCGGAAAAGAGAGTTCGAGTAAACCGACGACCAATATATTGATTTCATAGTGTGAGGGACCAGAAGAGGGAGCATTGGCCACCAGTTTACCCCGCACAATACTAAATCTGCTCTTACCCGAGTCTCCCTTTTCTCTTTATTTCTGTCTGGAAAAGAATACCCTTAGTTCTTTTTTTCTTCTTTTCTTTTTTTGCTTTCCGGCACCAAGCATCCGTATAGCATTGAAATAAAAACCGAATCAAATCTAAGAAATCAAACTGTGAATTCCTACTAGCGAATATTCGATTTCATGGATATCGATTTTATTCGTATAGTTTTTATGATGAAACAAAAATATGAAAACTTGACGTTTATTTATTTTTTGTTTCCTTTAAGATAATGACAAATAAAGAAACAATGCATTCTACTTTATATAGCGGAAAATCACTGCGGGAATATTGGCAAATGTCTTATCCACCCTCTCTGATTTGTCACCGTTAATCTACTTTTCTTCTGTTCTGGTAGTTGCCGTTTTCTTGTTCTTTTTTCTCATCCTCATGGGTAACATTTTTTTCTTTTTGGCTATTTCTGAGAAGCATAAGGTTTTTCCGTAACCCTCCTAAATGTTTTTTTTCTGTCATTCTCGTTAAGCGTGATGTGATTTTTTTTTGTTAAGGAAGAAATAGTAAAATTTCTCTATGCGAAATTTAACGATTGAAATATCATGTAAAAATTTAGTTTTCTATGCGAATATATAGAGAGAAAAAGAGGTGTATTGTTAGGGAAAATGGATCGTTAATATAGAGCCAACAAATTTTGTTTACTCTCCATTACAAGTCAGTTTATTTCCACTGTAATACAGGTTGTTGATTTTATATTATATAGGTACACGGTTTTTGCTAAACAAATTCAAATTTTAACAAGTATATATAATAAAATTTACAATGGACGTTAATTGTGTTGCATATGCGTTGAAGAATAAAATTGTTTTCAAAGTAAACACAAACTGTTTGTTCGATATTAACAATTTTGGTTTAATTTTGAAACAACCGAGTATACTTAAATAGGTAATGCAACAATGTAGGTACATAACTATTTTTTGTTAACAACAGTATAATTATTTATAATTAATTCAGTAATTGAAATAGGTATTATAGATTATTTCTCTACATATAAAGAAATATCTTATATTTTTATATAAGGTTTCTTTTCTTTACTATGTTTCATTAGTCAGCATCAGATTATATAGACATAGATATCCAGAGGAAATTTCTATATAGATTTGTAGCCATTGAAAATAGAGGCTTACATGAAAAAGAGAAAATGATGATTTTCAAAAGAACATGAAAGAAAAATAGGTTAATCTTTTTGCAATGGTACATAAACGACTATTTCTTGAATATTCGCTGTGTATATATTTAGATATAAAAAGAGATGAATAAATAAGTCTGACTTTATGAAAGTTTATCTTTGTATAGAATTAGTTTATTATATTTAATTGGAGTTAATAGTAATTTATGACTTTTTCTTTTATTCCGTAAAGATTTGATTTTTAATTTTGGCTAAATATTTTCAATGAAAGTAATAGTGTTTCATTTCTTGTTCGCAAATATTCTATTTTGTTAGAAAAACAGAGAAATTGTCTAATGGAATCAAAAGTGATTTTAGTGATTGAGTTTTGGTTAATGCGAGGCGAAAGCGCAATATAGAGATGAGGAAGCAGAATGAAAGGGAAGATGTATAGTGTCAGGTTTTGTTACCGGAAGTAGAATAGACATTTTGAAGGAAGGTAGCGGAACATGACCTCAAAAGTAATTCCTTATACCTAGCTACCAAAACGTCAATAAGATGACCTGATCTCATCTCGCATCTCTTCTTGACGATGATTAATGAAGAAAGTGTGTTTCATGATATTAAATTTCAAAATAATGGTTTTCTTTTTTTGTGTGAAAATTAACACTGCTGCCACTTTAAAACAAAAACATATCATTTATTTTCGCGAGAATTTTTCGTTTAAAAAAAACTATGTTTATTTTTTCATTCACACTTGAAAATGATTAACTTTTTTCTTTAATGTCGTTTCCTTATTTTTCTCCTCTTCTTCTTTGCTAATGTGTGTCTGTGTGTAAAACTAAAAGTAAAATGTGAGTTGATATTACAGTTGTTTACAAGTTTGTTTGAGAACTTAAGACTTAAATGCGTCCAGTCCTCATCTTCAAAGTTTAAATAAGTCTCTCCTTCTCTCTTTCTCTCTGTTTCGAAGAAGCTGTTGCTTAGTTTGTAAGTCGCGAGAACTCGCCGATAAAAGTTACATCGTTTAGTGTTTTCTAAAAAGAAGGTCACCTCAATCTTCTCTTCATTTTCTCATTTTCACTGTTTGCTTTCTTTTCTTGAGGAGAGAAAAGAAAAGTGCTCAACCTGCCAACAAGAAAGAAAGAGAGAGAAAAAAAAGTTCGTTTACAATCTATGTTAACGCTGGATTTAGCGATATCAGATGCTTTAGCCCCGACAAACTATCGACTCGTTTTCTAACACACAAAGCTCCATTCTATATATACCAATTTCCTCTCTCTCGGATGCAAGAGAAATATGTACCTTAAGCAAAAATCGATTCATTCTCTCTTGAAATACGTGCCTATTATCTCTCCATTGGTGCAAATTTTCACGATGCGATGAGGAACACACATTTGTGAGGAAAAAGGCAACGAACAGTGAACCCTAACCTTATTATATGTTGAATTAAGGAAACTGCAAACATCCACCAACAGAATTTTCCTCTATTCTTTTTTTTTTAAATTCAAGTTTGAAAGATTTAATGAACGGAAGGAAAAATTTTATTTCTTGAAAATTCTCTGTTGATGGCATTATACGTCAGTTTAAAACTCTTTTAGTTTTTCTTTACTTAACAGGTAATATAACCTTTAACTAAAGATAAACTATGGAATATAGTTTTATTTTTAGTTACAGATAACCTTTAAAAATAAAGATAAACTATATTCTAGAGTTTTACAATTATATAGAAAGTTATACATATGTAAATAATAATCCGTACTTTAAAAGATTGTCATAATTTTGTTTTTATATTACTAAAAATTTCTCTTTACTGTTTATGTTTGATAAATTTATTAAATTTCGATTGTTTAATTTTCAGAATTTTGGAATGCATAAGGCGAAGGAAAAAGGTTCTGTTGGGCAAACCGGATGTGGATCGGAGGTGTCCAGTTCCAAGGTGAATAACGAAGAAGGTCGAGCCGTTTTTGAGCGGTTCGAAGGTCGGTGAGCACCGCGACGGGGCGAGCAACCCCGTTGCCTCGGTCAGCGTTTAGTAAATCTTACTTCTTCCACTGTCGCCGAACAACAGAACAGGTGAGTCGAATTTTTTTTAACATTTCAGATAATTCGTTAATTATATACAAAAAAAAATTTGGACTCAAAATAGATAGAATTTTTAGGTTAGGAATCTTGTGAATTGGCAATAGAACGAGTGTGCCAACTATTTAACACGAAACTATAGATAATGGCGCTAAAATTTGAAAATTATTAAAATAAAATCAAGATACGTGACAATGAGTCCAGATTTTTTTCTGTAAATCACAATTACCATTTATAGACAGTATAAATAAAATAAATAAATATAAAATCTAGATTTTTATTTATTAATTTTATAATGGCATTTAATTGAAATATTGCCGACTTTAATATTTTTGATACATATATTGAATATGTTTATTATGAAATTTATTTATTATTTATTTTGAAGTAATTTGACTTTAGTTTTTTTTTTTTTTTTTTTTTTGAAAAATTTGGTTTACAAAAGATGATTATATATGTGTCCTACATTACGTTGAAATGAAATATAGGTTAAATGAAAATTTTATTACTGAAATTATTATATGTCGTGCGATAATTCAAAAATGCCACTTTCATGTGAAAATGAAATTCGGAAAATTATGAAAAATGGTAATTTGTGCAAATGAAGATTAGATTAACTTGCGAAATTCACATATATAGATATGAAGAAAAATTCAGTAATTTGATAATTTAAAGATTAAATTATTATATGATTAATAACGTTTCGGAAACGTGAAAATAAATTTCCGAATAAATAAACATTAGTAATAAAGAGAGAGAAACATATCGATTTTATTATAGTAAAAGTTTCAAAAAATGGTGCGTAAAAAATTACTTAAAGGAAAATTTAATTTTATTTGAAAAATTTAAAATTTGGTTCGTTTGTATGGAAGGGACATTGAATCGTTACGAAAATCAAGTTTGACAGTCAATCAGTGCTTGACAAAGTGAATCAGTTAATCGAATTTTTTTTAGTCACCTCGTTTAGTTTTGTACAATTGAGATCTGATATTGGGTTTATCGCCAGATCTCTCCCAGTTGCCACTCGCTCTTCATTACCATAGATTTTGTAAAAAATTTACAAAAATCCCTTTGATAGATGTTGATGCTTCAAAAAAAAAAAAAAAAAGAATTGATGGATTTTCAATTTCTTGTCAAACATCGTTATTAGCGATCCATCAAAAAATCTCCCTTAATAGAAAATTCTCCTTTTTTTCAAGTTGTATTGTTTTTGAATATTTGATAGATCGAAAAAGTAATAATTTGATATTTCAAGATTTAACTTATTGAAAAGTTATTATCATAATGTAAAATATTTTTACAAAAATACAAATATTTTCAATGTAGAGTTTTCAGTGTCATTATTGACATGGAAAATATGAGATTGTAATTAATTTGTATTGATTTTTTTTTTGCCGAGGGTATAAATTTAATTAAAATTCAATATATAATTAATTATATATTACAAATATTGAGTATATTGCTATACAATCAATTTATATTAAATTTATAATATTTACTCAAATATAAATTGGGTAATTTAATTTCTAATAGGAAAAATTGTAATAAATTATTGGATTTATAATTTTTTTTTTATTTTGAACTCTTGTAGGGAAGAGTGAATTACTATATTAAGAAATTTTCCATTGAAGCATAAATAAAAAATTTTTTTTTGATAATATGTTGAAGAATGCGCATACATTTTAGGAATTCAGCTGAGCCATGGTGCACTTAACTTGGTAAATCGAGTGACTCGGTATTTTTGTGCAATCTGTGAGAGAGCCGCGCGCGACTTCCCTTAAAAGAGTTTTCCTGTGAGGGAGAGTATTTTCAAAAGAATGGGAAAAAAAGTGAACGAGGAAGTTGAAAAATACTTTGTAGGAGGGAAGTTTTCGACTGTTTGCTGGTTATATGATTCTAGAGGGTGACAGGAACTGAAGGGGAATGGATATAAAGCAAATTGATGTGTGTGAGGGTTGAAAACTAGGGTATGAGGATAAATGCGGAAGGTTATAAGGGTACAAGTTTCAAATTCGTTGTTAGAGGTAAAACATCAAGGAGGGAAGTAAGTTTTTGAAATTTAGTTTAAGTTTTCTCTCTTAATTGTTTATAGAAATTTCTAGGGCGTTAATTATAGAGTTTTTGATGAGATATAGAGATCGACTAACAATATTTGTTTCAACGATGCTACTTATATTTAACTTAGTTAATTTACACCAAAACCTCGAAAAGGATGAGAAAAAGCATCGTTCGCCTTTACGCGCGCTTTCTCAAACGAATGCAATTTCACTTATTTCCTCTCATTTCCGCGAGGTTCGTGCCAACTTTCATAAAACTCCAATAATGTCTAACTTTGAAAAAACAACTATAATTAACTGGAACAATTCTTCTTTATAGTTTATATATTTACAAATTTATTGTTTTGAAATAATAAAAAGAAAGTGTATAAGTAGATTGTAAAACGGAATGTGAAAAACTTTTTATATTATTTTTTCCTCGTTTGAAATTGTATACAAAAACGGAATAAAGATTTAGTCTTCTTTCTACTTGTCTTTTAAAAAAAAGTTTAATATTGAATTTACTTTTTTTGAAACAAGTTTTTCACACATGCCTCAAATGACATTTCTTTTTTTCTAATTAGAAAATGCATTTTCGATTTTTAGGTCAGAATCAAAGTCATGAGAGACAATAAAATGATAAAATTTTTTTTTTCTATTTTCCACTTCGTCGTTTGCCCTTATTCTATGACATTCTCTTTGCAATCGACGAGACGCTTGTGCATTTTCTTCAAATTCATTTCTTAGATTCATTTTGAATGTGCATGAGAGAACTTTCTCACAGCTTTTGTCAGCTCTCATTTCCCAGATAAAATAAAAGCAAAAGTGATTTTTCTTTGAGAATAGAAATTCTTTTACCTCTCAGTTGAACTGATGAAAAAAATGTTACTCGTGGAAAATAAATTTTTATTCGCCTTTAACTAAAACTAATAATTAGAAAATTTTTTTGAATTAATTTATTTTTATTCCATTAGAATATTTGTAGAGCTCTAAAAATGACCTTTTACAAATTTGTATGCTTAATTAATTAATACTAAATGGCTTTAAATTACGTGAAATTTCCTCTCGTTTTATAATATATATCAAGTTTGAACAACTTGATTATTAATTTACATGGAGAATATGCTAATATGGAGAGAGAGGGAGAAGGAGTGGTGAATTTATTAATTCTGCAATGGTTATTGAATTGGAAAATATTTGTAGTTGAATTTTTGAGGTTGGGAATTTAATTTAAAGAGGATGATGTTTCGATTGAATATTAATGATGCATCGTAAGGTAATATCATCGCGTAAATTCACGAGCTAAATTAACGTCACGTGTTCTCAATATGCGCTCTATATATATAGAGGTACTGTGATAATTTTGCGTGACTTCGATATATACGAAATTCCCTTGTTCTGCTGATTCGTACTTTATGGCACGGATGGCGTATTTCTCTGTTCTCTCTGCTATAACTGGTTACGAGAATGAGTCACAGAGTAACGTTACCCTATTCTCTGTTGTCATGTCCATGCTCATGTGATGCGCTTATAAATGTCCCAACGGACAAGAAATATGTATGTACGTCACTCTATATTTGATATTGCTGCTGCTCGTATTAATAAGGTCAACTGCACATACACACATATATACATTTAAACCAGAAACTCTCAAGTTGATATTTTAATCATATTTTATAAACAAAATGCAACTTCATCCTCTCTATATAAATTCCTTTTATGACCTAGACCTCTACATATATTAATCTGCACTTGGAGTGACTGTAATTATTCATGAAATTGTTTTATGATAATTAAATTTACCATCTTGGTTTATGTTTCATATTATTTAGATTATAATCTAAATTAAAAAAATATTTAACTTGATTATTTATTTTCTTATTCAAATGTCATGGAAAAAAATTTCATCTGATACAACGAAACGTTTCATTATAGAGTAGTACAATAAAATGTTGATTGGTATTTAAATCAAAATTTCTTTGTCGCCTCAACAAATTAATTTATAAAATAAATTCAATAATTAATTACAAAAAATTTAATTGAACATTTGGTAAAAATTTTTTTAAATTATTGGCTTTTTTATAATTAATAGTCGAATTTAGTTATATATAATTATAATGTAGTAAACAAAAACGTAATTGGAGACTTATATTCTCGTTTAATTAAATGTTTTGGGAGCCGAGAAATATATGTGTTCAATTAATTAACTTGTTTTCAAACAGATTTTAAAATGATTTTTGTAAAGTAATCCGTAATTAAAAAGAAAAAAAAAACAACTTCCATTGCGATTGAACTATTCATTGGGAATTCATTAATTAAAACATGAGTCCCAGTGTGTAATCATTGCGAGCAATGAAAATGTGATTGATTTTATAGCGTATATTTACATTTCACTTTACTTTTCGCGAATAATCGCTTGGTAATTAATTGGCCAGATTCAAATGTCTACAGAATTTGCATTTTAGTTTTCTTATTTGATTTTTCCTCTTAGCGAGTAGAAATTCGTTCTTTTTTTTTCTTTCTCTTTTCTCTACATTCTCTCGTACTCGTTGTATTGTACATTCTACAGATTTAAGGTTCTTATAAGATCGCTAGCCATTTTAATAGGTTCTATTTTGCTTTCCAGCTATTTTTGCTGCATCTTGTATAAATAGGAGAGAGTATTTGGAATTCCAAAGTAGAATCGAAGGAATTGCTCATGTTCATTGGTCCATTTTTTTTATATATATAGAAAGACCGAACGGAGAAAAATTCCATTATTATCAATCTTGATCTTTATATAAATGAGATAGAGGATAGGAATTTCAGATTTATTTTTATTTCAAATTTGAGTGGCCACACTTTTTTTAAAGTTAATTTTTTGATAGAAAAAAAACAAATTTTTCTTATTTATCAACATTTGTTTTAAAAATTGCAAATTTAAGCTGTTGACGATTGTTCTCTAGGAGAATTTTGTAG